CTCACACACATCAACCTGCCCTCCTTTCTTTCCCTTGCCCCTCCGAACCTACCATTAGAAAGTACATGCCAGAAGGCTGGTCCTCTACAAGAGGCAACTGTTGCACCTTCAGTGAGGCAAATGACTAGGGATTTTTACGCTTTGAATTGAAAGATAGTGAAATGCACATGAAGTGCCGATTACTTGCTACAAGTAGATAGAGAGTCGGTCATGGAGACAATGGAAATCACCAATGACCTCTAATGCTGAATAGAACTTCCCGAACCCCGAATCGCGGCTTTCTAGTGTGCTCTGCGGCTGCTTACGCGTCCAATTCTGCTTCGTTTCTTCTTGGAAAGGGTGACCACGAGAACTTGGCGCAGTTCGGAGACGCCAACGAAGATCCCGTCGGCTCCAACGCATGCTTTGACCGTGCCGGCGCAGAGCCGAAGCGGAAATCCCTCCATACAATCAAGTACAATGGAATGTATGGTCGAGACGCAGATGCTGTGCATTATGTGGGGCAAGCCTTCTAGAGTCGCGACATAGAAACCCGGGTCGAATCTCAATAGGAGTCCGAGAGATGGACTACGAAGACCTGACCCGCGGAGAGTGACTTCATCTTGATTAAGGTGTTTTGCAGCGTCATGGAATTCTCGGATTCGACGCGACGGAGAGCCTGTTCTCTCAAAGAGGAGGCTGTTGCGGACTAAAAGATCCCAGTACTTGACGGCAAGGTTCGGGGAACCTTGTAGTTGGAGACCGTTGTAGACGGCGGCGGAGATGCACATGTCACTATTATCTCGGAACCGCACGGTCCCGTGTGTGGAAACGCGGTAGATAGGAGTCCGAAGATTGACGGCCCTGGAACGACCATGGATTATCTTCAGACTCCTACCCTTTTGATCGGTGCAAAAACGGTCAATACTTAAGAAGCCACTAATTCGATCTCTCCCACCAAATTGGAAGAGATCATCAACAATCTTGTGAGTTGTACTATTCCCGGTTCCGGAAATTGCTAGAGTGTAGAGCAAAATACGGTGAGGAAGGTTCGTTGCGGCGTTGACGCCATAGTACGTGTTGTCAACGTCGAGATAGATGGACTCAATATTCCACTCACCGTCGCCTATAAGACAGTACTGGTTTGTGTCCGACAACGACTCTGTGAGACCAAGACGCCATATCTCTTCGAGAGAAACCTCTTCAACTTGCTTGCGGTAGAGCAGGGCGGTAATATAATCTCCTAGAAGGCTTTTGAACACTTGTTCTGTTGCGGCGTAACGGCGATGCCCGCTGGCCACCCAAATGTGGAATATGAAGCCCGTCTCCGAAACCTTGGTTACATCTGTTCGAGATGAGAGCTCGAATATTAAGTGGCTGCGGCTGGCGACGCGTGCAGCTTTCAGAGCGAGCTGCTTCCGCGGATGCTTACCTCCCGTGCTCTTCGCCGCTGTCTGCTTGGTCCTCGCCATCGTATTACGCTATGAGGGGGGCCGAAGAGGGCACGCGGGGACTGAAAACCCAGCTGCGTGCCTCTCGATTTTGTGGGCAACTTGAGGTCTAAGCTACGACGAGGACCAAGGAGGCAACGCGGAAGAGCCGCAAGAGCTAAGCAGCGCAGGAAGCAGGAGGCCGGAAGAGCTAAAACGAGGCTGGGATGAAGCGAGAAAGGCGAACGGAGAGTGACGGCAGGTACCACAAGAAGGGAAGGGGGGTCCGAGCCCCAGGTCTGTGTTGATATAGGCTGGAGGGTGAAGAAAAAATCAAAATCAAAGGCAAAATCTGAGAGCCCGTCCCAACACAGCATATCACATCAATGGCAATCGAGCAGAGCCTCCTGATTGGTTGCTGCTGATACAAATATTAACATCGCAGTCTTACTAAGAGGTAGTAAGCGCCCTTTCTCCTGGAGTGTAAGCCTCACAGAAAGGCAATTTCATTGGACAACAAATAGATTGAGACAACTCAAAAGCAAGCGACCACAGTAAAACGGTCTCAAACGCGCTGAACAGAGTCAGTAAAATGCCCAGCGGAAAGTGGGGATGATCTCCCCAACATCACGCTATCATCCGTGCATCAAACCGTCTCCCGTCTAGCACCACCTTTTGTCGACTCCACCTCCATATTATCTCCAGCACTCCTGGATGCCATATCCCCCTTCACACCTTTTTTCAACCGAATATCGCTGGCGCATATCCCACCTCATGAATAGAGACGAAATCACGTTCTTATCTGTAACTTCAATTTATACCGATGAGGAGTTTTCCGGCGCATTCCGAATGTGTCGTCCCATCTTTGCGAAATTGTTGCGACTTATTCAGTGTAAAATTCAGAAAAACATTGAGATGGGTCAAAGATCAAAGAGAACAACCGTCATGCCAGATATGCGCCTCGGAATCACCCTACGCCTACTAGCTGGAGCAGATATGTGGGACCTCATATCAAGCTACCACGTGAAAAAATCTACTATCCACAGAATTTTTGAGGACACTGTAAGTGTGCTAAATGTGGCCCTCCGGCTTCCTGGACTGCCGAAAACAAGAGGAGATCTCTATACATCATCAATCGCTTTCAAAACCTCAAGAAAAACACTTAGTCCGTTGGACGGGTGTGTCGGGGCTCTAGATGGTCTTGCAGCTAAAATCACTAAACCAAGGGAAGAAGAAAACCCCGCGTCGTACTACAACAGAAAAGGGTTTTACGCCCTTTGTGTGCAAGCTATGGTGGACTCCAATTATCGTTTTCTGACATACTCCTGTCGCTGCGTGGGTTCGACTCATGACTCGCTCAGTCATGAGACCTCAAGTTCAGGAAGATATCTCCAGGAGGGCCGTTTGTGCGAAGAATTTTGGATAGCCGCTGACGAAGCATATTTGTGCACTGAAACTGTCATAACACCTGTACCAAGCTCGCAGGTTACAGAGACAGAAGATGCGTTCAATTTCTACCACTCGTCACTACGAATGCACGTAGAGCAGGCGTTTGGGGTTTTAGTAGCCAAATGGGGCATTTTGCAAAGGCCCTTGCGTTTCGCTGTACGGAAGTCATCACGAATTGTGTGCACTGCCATGAAGATACACAATTTCGTCGTCGATGAAGGCGGTTCGAGGCGAGAAGGTATGACAGCAGTGGAGTTTAGACAGGTTTACACAGAAAGCTTGAGGTGGCACAGACAAATGACGCGGTCTGCAAACACAGGAAGGGAAACAGGACTCGAGAAAACGTGACAGTCTCATAGATCTGGTAAAGGCACAACGATTGGAACGACCTCCTGCACGCCAACGCCACAAATAAATATTCGTCCCCCTCTACAAGTAGTGCTGCAATTGGATTATTTGAAATGGTTGACGTGGGAAGCTATAGAAGGTCATGGTCTTCTAGACAAGGTCGGGCGCTGGCGATACTGAGGAAGGGACACGAACAGAAATGGAACGAGGTACGCAAGAAGAAAAGTTGAAAGATGGGAATGGAGTGGAAAAGGGGAAGCTGGAGTTGACTAAGGTGAGATGGAGCTGGAGTTCAGGACGGGGAGCTGAGACTATGGGGATGGCGAGGGAAGCAAGAAGCTGCAGTTGGTGAGGAAGCCAGGATGCTGGAGATGGTGAGAGAGAACTAAAGCCGAAAATGGGAAGGGAGGGACGACTATGGGGATGGTCAGGGAGAAAGAGAGCTGAGAATGGTGAGAGAGGGGGGAGACTACAGTTGGTGAGGGAGGTAAGAAGCTGCGTTTAATGAGGGAGATGGCAAGCGGAGGATGGGAAGGGAGGGACGACTCTGGGGACGTTCCGGGAGAAAGAGAGCTGCAGATAAAAAGGGAGGCAGGAACCGGCGGTTTTTGAAGGAGAGGGGAGGCTGAGAATGGTGAGGGAGGGGGGAGCTGCAGTTGGTGAGGGAGATAAGAAGCTGCGTTTTGTGAGGGCGATGGCAAGCTGAGGATAGGAAGGGAGGGACGACTCTGGGGATGTGAAGAGAGTTAGGAAGCTGGAGCTAGTGAGGTAGAGAGAGACAGAAAAAGAGAGAGAGAGACAGAGAAAGAGAGACAGACGGAGAGACAGAGAGACGGAGTAAGTGAGATATGGGAATGGTGGGAGAGGAGGAGAGAGGAGGAGTTTGCAAGTGGGGACGCACGAGTGGATGTTGATGATCATTCGATTTGTTGCTACAGTAGTTTGAAGGACCCACTCTATTTGTACATTTTATACATCTCATTGTTTGTGCTGACCTTCTGCTTTAATGTAATTTGCCTAAAATATATATCTTAAGGTCTTCAATATATACTTTCAATGTCTTTCACGTGGGCACCTCGCAGTGACCAATCATATGGCCTAACTTGATATCGGAAAGAAAGGCATGGATATGTTGGGACGGGCTCTGAGTGGCCTGGGCCCGTGGTCCCGCCTCAGTGGGGGGTTGTGTGACACGTGGTTGGGACCGGTGTAAGTAATTGGAAGTTTAAGTTAGTAATTGTAGACAGTGCGCAAAAAGAGTATAAATGCGGTGGTTTTCGGTCGTCCTGTACGGCCGAGAGTAGACACATGACAGAAAACGCACACGGGTAAGACACGGGGACGACGCATCCCGTTTTCACCCCAGCAGGAGTGATGAGCTAGGCGCAGGATAATTTTTGTGATGTGCTCGGTGTATGACAAAGGACAATTCGAGGTTTAAAATCGGGGCGTGGACCAGTTTGCTTGAAGCCCGTAGCTCCGCGGGCCACCAGACGACCTTGCAATCGTCTGCCTTAGACCCGCTCAATTTCTTTCACAATTCAACATTTCCTCGACGACGAACGTCATCTTATCGCGACCGCCACTGGCAGCTCACGGCTCCCTCTCATTCGCCCAATTCGTCTCTCCGCAACCCGCATCGCGCGCTTACTAAACCCGAGCACCTCCCACCAGCCCGGCACCTCCCGCCTTTCCAGCACCTCCGCCATTGCCGTCCGACACACCGCTTCCTCCCTTCCGCAGAATAGTCTGCGCTCTCAACTGAGTCCTCGCACGACTTCCCAATCCGCCACAATGACGACTTCCACCGAAACCAAGACGACCACGTCGTCCACTACTCTCCCGCCTAGTGAGTACAAGGTAGCTGACATGTCCCTCGCCGAATATGGCCGCAAGGAGATGGACATAGCTGAGATCGAGATGCCTGGTCTGATGGCGTGCCGCGAAGAGATGGGCACCAAGAAGCCGCTTACGGGCGCAAAGGTCATGGGCTCGCTGCACATGACTATCCAGACTGCCGTCCTCATCGAGACCCTCAAGGAGCTCGGCGCCGACCTGCGCTGGTGCTCGTGCAATATCTTTTCCACCCAGGATCACGCTGCCGCTGCCGTCGTTGCTGAGGGCACCTCTGTGTTCGCCTGGAAGGGTGAGAGCCTCGAGGAGTACTGGTGGTGCACCGAGAGGGCCCTTACCTGGGAAGATGGATCTGGCCCCGACATCATTGTCGATGACGGAGGGGATGCTACCCTGTTGATCCATGAGGGATTCAAGTCGGAGATCGCCTATGAGAAGGATGGCACTCTACCGGATCCCAACTCGACCGATAACGCTGAGTTCAAGATCGTTTTGCAGACTATTCGTGACGGCCTGTCCAAAAACCCCAAGCGCTGGCACAACGTTGTGGACAAGCTCGTGGGTGTGTCCGAGGAGACTACCACTGGAGTTCATCGTTTGATCGAGCGCGCTCGTGAGGGCTCGCTTTTGTGCCCGGCTATCAATGTCAATGACTGTGTCACCAAGAGCAAGTTTGACAACGTTTATGGCTGCCGCCACTCCCTCCCAGACGGTATCATGCGTGCTACTGATGTCATGCTGGCCGGGAAGACGATCATGATCTGCGGGTACGGTGACGTCGGGAAGGGCTCCGCTCAGGCCATGAAGGCGGCCGGTGCTCGCTGCCTCGTCGCTGAGATCGACCCTATCTGCGCTCTGCAGGCCACCATGGAGGGCTTCCAAGTCGCCACTTTGGACGACTATGTCAAGGAGATTGACATTATCATTACGACTACTGGCAACAAGGGTATCGTCACCGTGGATCACATGGCGAAGATGAAGAACAATGCGATTGTCGGAAACATTGGACATTTCGACAATGAGATTGATATTGCCGGTCTCGAGAGCTACAAGGGCATCAAGAAGATTGAGGTTAAGCCACAGGTGCACCGCTGGGTGTTCCCTGATGGGCACGGCATCATCATGCTTGCGGAGGGCCGTCTACTGAACTTGGGCTGTGCCACTGGGCATCCCAGTTTTGTCATGAGCTGCTCTTTCACCAACCAGACGCTTGCTCAGGTCGAGTTGTGGGAGAACCGCTCTTCTGGCAAGTATGAGAACAACGTGTACATTCTCCCGAAGGTTTTGGATGAGAAGGTGGCTCGTCTTCACCTCAAGCACCTTAATGCCAAGCTTACGGAGCTCTCGCCCGAGCAGGCCGAGTACATCGGCGTCAAGGCTGACGGGCCGTTCAAGCCGGAGAGCTACAGGTATTAGGCCGGCTTTTGGGCATAGCCGTAGCCTCTGGCATAGCCGTAGCCTCGGATATCGAGTTTGCTCTTCCCACTTGGGTAAAGGTGAGTGGAGCCTGGGACACGACATTGGAAAGGGAGGAAGCAATGTGAGGCGTGAGGAGACGGACGACTATCAATAAATGAACTTGCACGGATCCTGTTGAAATTTGAGCTCCCGCTTTTGCACAATAGTTGAAAATTTTCGATCTCTGCACTGTGAGTGAATGGGACCACATTTTGCGTTCTGGTGTCCTCGTATTGATATCTGCGCACCGCGATATCCTCAGAAGTTGGGACTCTCGGATCGGTACGGATTGAGTTCTTACGAAGCGCCGAAGCCATGACTTTTGCTTTCGTTCAGCCATCGCTCTCCCTCCGCAAGGCACACTTGCATCAGTCCAGTCGCACCTGGACATGCTCTCTCACGGCCCCCCCAGCCGCTGCTAAGGCGGCCAAAGCCAGCTCACTCCTCGCCCCGGGCCAGTCGCACTTCCTCCACGTCGACGACCTGAGCCCCGCGGAGCTGAAGCGTATCCTGCAGTCTGCCAAAAAGATCAAGGACGCCGACCTGCTCAACGACGCCGACTACCGGCCGCTGCTGAACAAGGCGATGTCGATGGTGTTCGCTAAGCCGTCCTCGCGCACGCGGGTGTCCTTCGAGACGGCGATGTTCAAGCTGGGCGGGCACGCGCTGGCGCTCGGGCCGGAGGTGGGCGTGAACACGCGCGAGGCGGCGGGCGACGTGGCGCGCGTGCTGTCGGGGATGACGGACGTGATCATGGCGCGGCTGTTCGCGCACGGGGACCTCGTGCAGCTGGCGGAGCGGGCGTCCGTGCCCGTGATCAACGGGCTGACGGACTACAACCACCCGTGCCAGATCGTGGCGGACGCGCTGACGATGGCGGAGACGCGCGGGGCGCTGGAGGGGGCCAAGGTGGTGTACGTCGGGGACGGGAACAACATCGTGCACTCGTGGGTCGAGCTGGCGGCCGTGGCGCCGATCGAGTTTGTGTGCTGCTGCCCCGAGGGCTACGCGCCCGACATGGGGCTCGTGGAGCGGGCGCGGCGGCGCGGCGCGCGCGTGAGCGTGAGCCACGACGTGGGCGAGGCGACGCGCGGGGCAGACTTTCTGTACGCGGACGTGTGGGCCAGCATGGGGCAAAAGGAGGAGCTGGCCGAGCGCGAGAGACGGTTCCAGGGGTTCCAGGTGACGGACCAGATGGTGAAGGGCACGGGGGTGGAGACGCGGTTTCTGCACTGCCTCCCCGCGGAGAGGGGGCGCGAGGTGACCGATGAGGTGATGGAGGCGGGCTACTCGGAGGTGTTCAGACAGGCGGAGAATCGCATGCACGCGCAGGTCGCTATTGTGCTGCACTGCATGGGCGTGGGGTTGGAGGTGTGAGCGGGATGAGGTGGTGGTGGGGAGGGCTGGGAGAGGTTGATAAACTTGAGAGCAGGGTGCCGGGGACGAAGGGCTTCAATTCATACTGATGTACACGTGTACGAGGTAGGCAACGTGTAATACTGAACACGTGTGAATAGACACGTATGACGACGTGAACACGTGTTGGCGCAAGTAGGTGTGGGCATCCTCGTAAAGCTCACAGGGCAGTCTACAGGGCAGCAGCGCAGCAGTGCAGGCAGGCGAACGGCGGACAAGATGGTCATGGCTGGACATGACCGCGCCACGACATTTGCTGCGACACGTCGACCAATTCTCACCCTCCATACTTCCATCCTTCCCCCGCCCTCCCCGCCCCGCCTTAAGTATCGCTGCTTGTTGTCTCGACCCATCCGCTCAGCCGCCCCTCATCTCCCCCTCCCCCCCCCCCTCTTACCCGGCAATGAGCGCCGCCACCGGCGCGGTGCGCGCCTCCGCGCAGCTACACCGCGCCCTCCAAGCGTGCGCGCGGCCGCGCGGCGCCGCGTCGTCGCTGCGCCAGCTGTCGTCGTCGTCGTCGTCGTCGTCGTCGTCGTGCGCGGGGCGGCGGCGCCCGCCGCACGCGCGCCGCCACTACGAGCGCCGCGCGGTGCCCTTCTCCGCCGCGGAGCTGTACGCCGTCGTGGCGGACGTGGACGCGTATTCGGACTTTGTGCCGTGGTGCACGCGGTCCGTCGTCACGCGCCGCGTCGACGAGGCCCATCTCATCGCGGACCTCTCCGTCGGCTTCCGCCTCCTGTCCGACACGTACACCAGCGTCGTCACGCTCGACCCGCGCAGAAGCGTCAGCGTCGACGTCCCGGACTCGGCCCTGTTCGAGTACCTCATCACCGACTGGTCATTCAAGGAGCGCCGCGAGGGGACCGACCTCGACTTTTATGTCGAGTTTGCCTTCCGCAACCCGCTCTATCAGAGAGTTACAGACCTCTTTTTCGAGGAGGTCGTCAAGAAGATGGTCGGCGCGTTCGAGCAACGCTGCCATCTCAAGTACCGCCTCGGGGACACCGCCAACCCGCGCGTCTTGCACCGCTGGTGAACCCCTTGTCTACGTTGCGACGCCCGCATCCCGTCGCGCCCACGCGCTCCCCGGGCACCCATTTTGTCCCTCATCTAACACCCACGTCGCCGCCCCATGTAAAACTTTATTGCTTATTCCGTCTCCTCCTGCGCCCGCGTCAGCCGTTGCGCCGCCTCGGCCAAGCCCCCCATCGACTCTGCGGCCCGGAGCTCCAACGGAAGCCCGTCGTACATCCGCGCCGACGGCCGTATCGCCGCGTGCCTTACCGCGCACCGGAACTGCGCGCGCCCCGTCGCCTGCATCCAGCTCGCGCGCTCCAGCTCCTCCCACTCGAAGAGCAGCGCGTCAGCCTCGCCCCACGCCGCAAAGTCCACCACCCACACGCGCTCGCGCGCCAGGTACACGTCCATGACGTATCGGTCGGCACCCTCGAAGCGCCCGTCCACGCGCGTCTGGAAGAAGCCCGTCGCGCGCCGCACCAGCGCGTCCATCTCGTCCTGGCTCAGCCGCACCGCGCTCTCCGGCGCGCGCGGCGCCACGCCCACCACCTCGCCGTCGCGCACGAAGCACCGCAGCTCCATGCGCTCGTCCAGGTCGGCCCACTTGCGCAGCGCCAGCGTCGCGCCGCGCGTCGCGTCCACGCGAGCCAGTACGCGCTCCGAGCTCTGCAGCAGCGCCAGCACGTCGTCCGCGCTCGTGCACTTGGTCGAGCGGTGGAAGTTCGCCCACGCGGCGTCGACGGGCGCCACGCACGACAGCTTGGGGGACACCTGCCCGCCGAGCTCGCTGATGTACGCCTCGATGGCCGCCTCGATCCCGGCGTTCGGCGCGGGAGGCGGGGGAGGGGGCAGCTCGTCGACGCTGCCGTCAGACCACTCCACCCGCCTTTGGCCGGACGCGTGGGGCGTGTAGACGGAGCCGGTGAGAAGGGATGTGAGGTAGGCGGGCGGGAGGTAGATGAAGCGCGTGCGGGGCGAGTGCCGCAGGAAGTTCGGCAGCCAGACAGACGGCTCGTAGATCGAGGGGGGGAGCGGAGGGGGCTCCGGGTCGGCGAGGGCGCCTGGCATGGTAGGAGAGGGGGGGAGTGGAGCTGGTTGTGAGAAGAGTGTCGGAGAGTGAGGAGGGCCGCTAAAGGTGCCGGCGACAAGTGGGGAAGGAATGTTCGGGGAAGAAGTATGAAAAGTCGGGACGTGGCACTTTTTTGTTGATGGCGGAATTGAAGGATCTCGGAAGGTATCTGCTGCAGCTCCATTCAACTGTTGCGCTGAATCTTTCCCCATGTCTTCCATACATTGCAGTGCCTTTCATCTTCCTGCGCTTCAAATCGTTCGCTCTCTCCCGTGTCCAAGTTTCCGCACCCCCGACACATCTTTTCAAATCCCTGAAGCCCGCCCCGCCTTCCGCCGACCGTGGAAGCAATCCCCCGCCATGTCCGCCTTTGCGCCCCCACTGCTCCCGTGCACGCGGCCCGCCAACGCCCCCTCCCTGACCCGCCGCGTCTCTCCCCTTACGCTGCACCCCGCAAAGCGACGAAGCACGCACGCAACGATGCGACAGCCCTCTGCAAGAAAGCAGCCGCCGCCCGCGCCCACCCCCTCCGAAACGCTCCCTGACCTCAAGGCGCGCCTGCTGCAGTCCCTCGAGGGCCTCAACCGCGGCCTGTCCATCAACGCTGATAGCCCGACTGTCGGCGAGCAGGAGGCGCTGGTGGAGGACTTGATCGAGCGCATCGAGGACATGAACGCGGCCGAGGTGCCCACCAAGGACCCGCGCATGTTCGGCACCTGGGAGCTGCTGTACACCAGCAGCAGCATCACGCGTTTCTTTGGTGGCGCCACCGGCTTGCAGCGACTGCTGCCGGCGGGGGAGGTCGGGCGCGTCGAGCAGTACATTGACGCTGAGAATGGTACGTGTGAGGTTAGGGAGGAACTCAGCTTTGAGGTGCCGATTGTGGGTACGCCGATGAAGAAGATAGCCGTGGCGAGCGGCACGATTAGGGCTACGTCACAGACGAGGCAGGCGTGGGACCCGAAGGAAGTGCAATTCTATTTCTTCAAGCAGTTTGCCGACGGATGGAAGACCCTGCGGGCATTTCAGATCGCCGATACGTCGTTTTTGGATGAAAGCTTGAGGATTACGAGGGGGCAGACGGGGAGCGTTAATGTGTTTGGCAAAAGGGATGATGACTGACGGCGGGAACTGGGGATAATTTCTTCTGGGCGTGACTGTGAGAGCGCTTGTTGTTAAAACCGCGAGGCTTCATGGACTTTAAAGCGAACGTAAAGCACGGTTTTAGTGACAATAAATACCGCCCTGAATATATATATAACCCTTTGCTTAATACCCCGTATCCGACGACTCATATCTAATACTCTCTAGAGGACTCTCCATCTCGAGTCGATATCATTCCATCCATGCTTTTCAAAAATCGTCTCGCTGGCCGACCGGATCTCCGGAAAGTCGAGCCCGCGGAATTGCATTCTCGCCTTGGGACTAACGCAAACCCTCAGCATTTGCCTTCGGCACGTGCGCAGCACCTTGGCATCCACGCCATCCTCATGCGCGTCGCGGATCAACCTAGCGCCAGCCATGGCCACCTCGTCCAGCGACACGCGTCGATCTTCCCCCTTCAGGACGGCCGTCGACAGCCGCACCACCTGCGCCGTCAGCAGCTTGACCAAGTACACGTTGAGTGGCACCTGATTTTTGCGCATCCTCACATACATATCCCGCGCGCTCTTCACGTCAGACAACTTGAGATAGGCAAGTGTCAGCGGGGTGTACGAGTGGGCGTCGGGCGTCAGCGCGCCCCCCGTCTTCTCCATGTACTCCAGCACCCTCAGGCCCGACTGCGTGTCACCTGACCGGGCGCACGTGTCGACAAAAGCCGCGAGCGAGACGCGGTCGGGCTCTATACCCCTGCGCGAGATCTCGCGAAACATCTTCCGGGCCTTGCCAAACATCCTGCCGCTTGCGTATCCCTTCATCATGATGGTGAAAGATACGATGGTCGGCTTGCACCCCTGCGCCTCCATCTGCCTCAAAAAATACTCGGCCTTCGCGTACATCGCGGCCTTCATAAAGCCATCCAATAGGGCATTGAACGTGTCCGTATTCGGGGTGACGGCGCCCTTCCCCTTTCTGGTCCGCCGCAAATCCTCGACGACCTTGCCCGCCATCTCCAAGCACTGGTCCTTCCCATCTGAGCACAATCCCGTGACAAACGCGTTGACGACACCAACACTCCGCAGCTCCAGGGGGATTCCGCGATAAACGTTGACAGCATCCCTCTCCCCCCCTTGCCTGAAGCAAGCGGCAATGACTGCAGCGTACGTGACATCCGACGGCGGGGCGTTGCGCTCGTTCATATTGTTCAACAAGGCCATGGCATCCGCAATCCTGCCACTCTCTGCCAGCCCCGCGGCCAAACTAGTGAGGGCAATAGTGAGCTGCGGGGGCCGTCCCTCCTCGAGTTGCACAGCGCCATGCCCGCGGGCAACAGCATCTGCGAGGCGCCACGCGGCGTCAAAGTCGTGTGCATTGACGCAGGCGTGCAGCAGGGTGTTATGGGTGACATCGTTTGGCGGGAGGCCGAGGTTGTTCATCTCGTCGAGGACGTCGAAGGCGCGGCGGACGCTGCCCTGCCTGGCGAGCCCCTTGATGAGGGTATTGAAGGTCTGTACGTCGAGCAGCGGGCGGAAGGTCGGGCGCATGACGAGGCCCTCCGCGGTGGCGACGTCGTCGCACCTGACCAGTGCGTCGACGGCGGAGTTGAGCAGGACGGAGTCGAGGCGTACGGGGCCATCGACGGCGTCGGCGACAGCACGGCGGACTT